ATCAGTTTTAAAAGAACACAAAGGTACTAACAACCCTGTAATATAAGATCTCATGGTCTAAGGACTTGACCCATTGAACATACAAGCAAACTTATATAAGAGACACAGACTTTAATGGAGACACACACATCAGTAATGTACTCCCATGCAAAAGAGTTTGCAGGATCAGGCACTACATAATGTCCTATTGTAATTTGGATGTTATTTGCCATCCATGCAAAAAACCTACGGAATTGAGTACAAGAGAAAACTGGCAATGTGATTCAAACTTAAACTGTGAGGGGTCACGGAATTTCAGTGGCCTCTTCTGTTTTGGTAATTAATTCTTGGTTTGGGAATGAATTGTATTAATTTTCCCACTTGGAGAATTCTCTCAAAGTTGGTGTGTTTAGAAATAAAAGGAAGCCTCCTGTACTGTGTGCGGGGGTCCTGTAAAAGGAAGCCTCCTGTACTGTGTGTAGGGGTCCAGAACGGTGTAATGAATGTCATGGTTTCAGCCTGCCCATGTGCTCAGATCTGCATAAAACATACCCTTGTGCCTTCCACTGAAGTTTATACAGCTAGTCATGGGTGGCAGGACCTGGCTGCACAGATCTGCCTGTATTAGAAGGGTCTTGAGGATGAACCCCCAAAGAAATTATAAACACCAGAAGTTGTGTTAATCATTTGGCAGACAGCATTCATCCCTCTGAGTCCATAGTGGAACCATGCCTTGCATGATGGTAAGAGGAGCTATGCTCCAAAAAGTGCTGTCTTTTGAATGAAATGAAAAATCAGGGGCTTGACCACTGTGGTTATTAAGGATCCCATGACCCTTTTCCCAATTATCCTTGCTGTCCTGGCCAAATTCCACTGTGGGTAATTATGGTCCATTCTGCTGACCTACATTCTCCCTATAGTTTCTATTCTACAAGCAGTTGTTTAGTCGTGCTAGCACACAATGACTGCCATGTTCCAGGCCAAAAGCAAATGAAGTGATCCCTATAAACACACATGGCCAAATGCTGTGCTGACTTACAGCGTACAGCGCAATTAAAATCAATGGAGTTTTAAAGAGTACAAGTCAGGACAGAATGTGGTCCACAATCTACAAATCACTGTGATATACTTTCATATGAAATATAATATGTACCATTTTAAGTTCTTATAAGTAGCAGGGCTGTACAAAAATGAGCTATTTTGTGGTTCCAGAATCTTACTTTTCATGATTTTTTACAACATGATTATTTTGCATCAGAGCAGACTGAATTTCTGAGTTTCACCAATTTTTAATGTGAAAAATCATCTTTGCAGTGACAAAATGTACAAGTTACAGTTCTGAAAATGGCAAGGATTTTGCTCACAACTAAACAAACACCATGGAGCAAAAGGTCCAGTCCTCCCTTAAAAACAGCCCTCTATTTTTCTGCCAAAAAATGTAACATGCTATGGGTTTTTGATTTTCTTGCAAAATTGGACTATTTCACAAAATCAAACAATCTCAAGTCTCTCAGACTCTGATATTGCAAACTCCTTCCCATGGCAAAGCCATCTACAGTCACATGGCGTGCCACTGAAAGAACGTGTGGGAATGCGACCTAGGTTTGTTTTCAAGTTGCATTGAGACTATTTGCCATAGCGCCAATAAGCTGTCTTTTATTACAATATACATTGTTGAAAGTATGTAAAATCTGGGACTTGAACAGCTTGGCAATATTAGACCGTTTGTTTTATTTTTTGACACTCAGCCCCTAAGAGAAGACTGCTGGGCCTAATCCTGTCATCTATACTCAGGGAAAACTCTCTCTGATGACAGCAGGACTAGGCTGTTCCAAACCCACTGCAAATTAAAGGCCTGATTATGCTACTGAATGGTTGCACTGCTATGAGTAGGGACTTACCTAAAACATGGTGGAAGTTCGCAGTGCAGCAGCACCTTTAATCTCGTTCTTTTTGATGTGTGCCCCCCGTCAGGTGGCCGAGAGGCAAAACCATGGCATTAATTGCCTCTCAGCACCTCAGCAGCAGGGAAGCGGGAGGGGTATGGCAAAAACAGTGAAATTAAAGGTACCACTATGCTATGAACTTCTGCCATGATTTAGTTAGGTCCCTAGTTATGATTAGGCATAATGATTTCCAAGGGCTCAAATATAACCTAGCTAATTATGAGTATGAGGGATAATACTGTGGATGGGGAAGCAGGCACCAGACCTGCCACATCCCCTCTCTGCGCAGGTGGCTGGGAAGGGGCAGAGACTTAGCTTCACCATCCCAATGTGATTATCAGGGTAGCTGCACTGGTGCATCAGGAGCTGTGCAGTGCACTGTATACAGACCTGATGCAATTTAGACCCTTTCTGCAGCACAGAGGAGACCAGGAGAACTGTGGCTCTGAGGATGCTGCTCCTGGGGCAGTGTAACAATGCAGACAGGCTGCCAGTCACAATCCAGCTCCATGGGACAACTTATTGTGATAAAAATCACACCAGGCAAAAGGTACTATTTCCCACTGGTTAGTGCATTTGAACAGTCATTTGCACCTGGGCAAAAGTGGATGTATGATGCTACCAACTCCATTTTTTCCACTTGTGCAGTTGTAACACTTGACACTCATTTTGCTCAAGCACAGATGACAGCAGTGGAGAATCGGGTCACAAGCACTTCCAGGATTGAGGCTTAAAGGGGGAAGTCTTTGCTGAACAGGTCCTCAAGTTAATGTATTTTTTCCACTATGAAAAGGATACCTAAGACCGATAGGGAGCCGATGCCCCTGCATTCTGCAATTGTTCCCCAACACAACTGAAGAAACTATGCTTTGTCCAAAAAAACACAGGCTTCAGCTGCCTTTTACACTGACCATTCCATGAGGCTCCCAGCAGAAAGAAAACTGTAAATTGTGAGGTATTGTGAAAATGGGAACCATTTTTTGTCCAGTAAACCTGAGGTAAATATACCGTCTTTGCAGGATGTGATCAGGAAAAATAAAATAAAAAAAATCATGAACACGCTATTAGAAAAAAAACAACAAAACAAACTGTACAGGGCATTTCCAGTAAATCAAAGAACTCATCATATCTCCACTTAACCATCTACTTCAGGATTTGAAATTTAAGCAGTAAAATAATATATTATAAAAATGTTTATAAAATAGCAGCACACTCAGTGAAACAATACAGCTAAGTACTGTTAATGTGAATAAGAATGAAACAAATCATAGCTTCTTAGCAGCGAAAAAAAAAAACCAAAAAACCCCCTTAGATTCTTATTCCATTTTCTACCCTCATCTAGCCAAGTATGGCAGTGTCCATTCATAAAATATTCTTCAAAGTAGCATGTTCTTTCTGGATTTTTATCTTAAAAAATGCAAACATGAACATTTCAACCAACAGCTTCATACTGTCTATTTGCAAACTGTTAATACAATTGTGCAAAAAAAAAAAAAGTTGCCCCAACTCCTTTACCATCTAAATGCCTCTTCTAAACAGATGGAGCAGGAAAAATAAATTCAAGTACACTGAATATACCTTTGTAATAAAATTCATAATCACACATCTTGATGGTTACCATGTCTTATGCACCAGCAATTTTCTTTCATTGTCCATAGATAAACATGCAGGTGGTATTAAGATCCTTCTGTGACATCAGACAATACAAAGAATTATCAGACTTTCATCCGGAATGTCATGACAGGAATGTCATCCGAAGCAGGTGTTGGAATTTCCAGCAACACCCTAACTAATGAAGTACACCAGATACTGGAAAACATCGACTATTAAAAGCTCTATAAGCTTCACTTTTGTGGGTTTTTTCTTTTCTCTCTCTCTCTCTTTTTTTTGTTCAGCACAATTGTCATAAACCATCTCATTTATCCCTTAGGAACAATTTTCAAAGTGCTTTTCGAATGAAATGGTTTACAATAATGCTAACTGTAGACCAGTAAGTTAATGCAATGTTGCAAAATGTCATTTCTTTTTCGAGGGGAGAGGGGAAGACAGGGAAGGATTCAAACAAAATCTCATCTTCTTTAACACAGCGAGGACATGTTAAAAAGGAAGATGGGCAGAGCATCATTTAATTGCCTTTACGCCAAGCTAAGGAGCTGCCAAAAGTTACCCTTGATGTGTAGCATTAGCATTGTGAATGAATGTAATGCTTTCTCAGATGATCCATTGCATCTTGGAATCCAATGTTCGGAGGCGGTTTGACTGGTTGTTTTTAATCAGTGTATTTCCCCCACCTAATGTGAACATTCAGTACTTTGGCTTGGCCCACAGTTGGATAAGCAGGATCACCTTTTTATGCCAAAGATGCTGCTGTGTTTAAAACAAGCCATTTCTGGAGGAAAAATAGGAAGCGATGGGAAGGGAAAAAAAGAAAAAGAAAAAAAGAAAACACCTGCTCTTCCGGCTGGCAAAATAAAGCATCTTCTTTCTTAGGTAGCAGCTACCACAGACAGCAAGAGTAAACACAACTAACATACAGAGATCCAACAAACACTTCTGACTAATAACAGAGGTGACAGATCAGCAAATCTCTTTTGCATTTCATTATGGTTCAACCGCTTCAGGGATCTTTCCCACTTTGCCTTAACTCCTTAATCTATTGCTTTGCAATCTAGTTAAGCCATAAAACCGCACACACAAATCCTTTCTTAAATCTAAAAAAGGGGGGGTGTATGCTCTAGGTCATAATACACAAAAAGTATACTCTACTTTGTTCCCACAAATGCAGGTTTACATTTATCTGGCTACTTCTTTATGCTTTTATAAGCATTTAATATCATTGATACATAATCAAACAGCAATTATCAAATATATTGTGGGATTCCCTTCTGTAGAACATCACAGGCACCAAATGCTTTTTTTTTTAATTATTCAGTTTTTTGTTGTATCTAAAAGAGCTTTAAATACATTCTATGTGGGAGCAGATAAAAAAAAAAGATTTAATAAAAAAAACACACAAAAAGAGGGGGTGAGGAAAGGGGAAGGAGCAAGCATGACTTTTTGTGCTGACGTCCTCACAGGTTGATGTCTCTCACATCTGTAGGAGTGCTGGCCTGGTCCAGTTCATCCACTGTCTTAGAGGGATTGCTTTGCTGTTGCTGCTGCCGGACTTGCCTAAGGTTGCTTACTAGCACTGACTCGATTTGTTCTTGACAAGCTTTAAGGCAGTCCTAAAGAACAGGAAGCAAAAGGGATTTGTTAGTGGATCTTTTCCCACTGTACTAACAAAAGCTGGAAGACAAGTATGAAACATGAAAATCAAGGTGCCATGGCTACACAAATGGAAATTGCGCATTCATCATAGGAGCTGGCTGTGGAGGGAAGCAGGCTATGGATTGCCAGAAGTAACCCCTGTATACACTATGGGTTGAATAAAAGCCAATGCCATGTCTGTTACAGTCCCAGTAACTTACAATTATGCAGGCCTAGACACATGCTGTGTTTACACTGGTGTAATCTGTACTGTTTTTATACAATGTTAAATGCAAGAAGAGCCAGAACACAGATCACCAGCTCCCCCATGCTAAATAACCTTTGCTTTCCCTCAAGCAAATATCTATCCCACAATAAACTGCTGGTATAAGACTGGGCTGCTTTGGTCAGGGATAATCCTAAATTAAGCAGGGGCCAGACTAGAAGACCTTGAGAAGTCCCATTCAGCCCCACTTTCCTATGATCCTATGACACCTCCAGTGGTGTAACTTACACTGATGTAATTTTATCCATAATGTTTCCCAGTGTAATTCTGTATCAGATTTGATAGTCATACTTGAGTAGGGCTGTACACTGTATGTCTGATCTTTTTACATACCAATGTATAAATAATTATAGTAGGATAAATGTGCCTGTCCAGGGTCCCAACTGTCCTGCAAGGAAGTAGGGTCTTTCGGAAAAGGAACTCAGCGTAACTCATTGGCAACCCCCTACACAACAGATGCACATCAAAGGGTAGAAATGCCCCCAGTTACAGTGGAGTTTCTGTGTTCCTTGTGCGGCAGTGTATGGGCTTGTCCTCCCTGCCAAAACAGCTGCATATTTTACACTGAGATAACTGAAGTGTGAGCTGTTCTGAGGTAAAAACATAGTTAAGTCACAGTGCATCACTTCTGCCATAAGGTAAAAGCACAGACCATAAACTTACCATTGGCAAGTAGCTCTTAAACCAGGAGTCACATCAAGTAGCATCCTGGGATTTAATGAGTGTGGTCACAAGCGCCACAGAAATTCAGTTTTGTTTCTCAGGCTCAGACTTGTAATTGGGGTCCTAAGTATAGAAGTATAGGTCACCAAGAAAAGGGAAACATTGCTCCAGATGACACTATGGATAGCTCTGTCCATAATTCAAGTGGCCTAATGTTGTTTCTGTTATAGACCACTGTTTCCAGTAGCTTATAATTTTGCCAAACTTCAGCCATTTGGGCTGAAGTCTTCTGTGCTAATCCTCAGCCTCAGGCTGAATTTTTCTGGGAAAGCCGAAGCAATTAACGCTTTGTCATTTCCAAGAATGAGGCTAAGGAAAACACCGCATCTGTACTGAAGAGAACAGCCTGGATTGCCACCTCACCAATCTTAAAAAGGCTTTCAACCAGCAAGGACACTCCTCCAGAGAGGTAGATCGCACATTTGAAAGAGCCACCTGGATACCACGTGAAGAACTGCTGCAGTACAGAAGAAAACCCCCCACAAATCGCACACCGCTGGTTATGACGTATCACCCATCCCTTGAACCTGTATGGAAAATCCTCAAAAAATTGCAACCCATATTAGAAAGAGACCCTATTCTTAAAAAGATCTTCCCAGAGCCACCCATCCTAGCCTTCAGACAAGCACCGAACCTCGCCAACCTCATCACCAGAAGCAAACTTCCTCAAGCCCAGAACACACCAAAAGGATCCAGACCGTGCCAGGACAAGAAATGCAAAACCTGCCAACACATCTCCACCACCCCCACTATCACTACACCCCACAACAGAGCCATCAGCATCCCAGGATCTTACAGCTGCACCTCCAGAAATGTAATATACCTCATCCGGTGCACCAAATGCCCTGATGGAAAATATGTAGGAGAGACCAGACAACAACTGCGCACCAAAATGAACGCACATCGGAAATCCATCAAAGACAGAAACACTCAATTACCGGTGGGGGCACATTTCTCACAGGAGGGCCACTCTCTCTCCAATCTCTCAGTCCTGATCCTCAAGGGAAACTTACACAACACTTCCCAGAGACGAGCCTATGAGCTCCATTTCATCAACCTGCTGGATACTAGAGATCATGGACTAAACATAGACATTGGATTTTTGATGCATTATAATCTGCCTGGCAACTGACTCCCCAGCCCAGCCCAGCCCAGCCCCTGGCTTCTTTACTTTTCATTCCATCCAGGAAGAGCACACACCAACTGCTGCAGCTTCCTTAGCCTGACGAAGGGTTTTTGAACCCAAAAGCTTGCTTAATAACTATTCTCCAACCATTTGGGTTGGTCTAATAAAAGAGATCAAATTCACCCAAGGAACCTTGTCTGCTAAGGAAAACAGGCACTTTTACAAATGTTAACTAAAATTTCTGACCAATTCTCTGAGGAACTTTAGCACATTCTGGATTTAGGAACCTGGCTTGGAAGAGAGACACTTTCTTGCTGTTCTCATGGAAACAAGTCCAGATTTAGCCAAACCTATGAACATTGTCTTTTGCACAAACTCAGTGTAGCTAGGGAGAAACTTCTGGCTCAACAAGCCTTTGAACCCTCCCACATGGCGCCTTCATTGAACAGGCCCTCCCGAACCACTGTAGTGCAGTGCTGTAGTTCAAAAGAAGAAGTAATAGTTGCTTCTGTCCTCTCAGCCTAGGAGATGGCAGAGGTTGAAGAAAGGTGTAGTGCTCTGTGGCTTGAGGGAGCTAGGCTTTCCCACCCTGTTTCAATATTCTTTTAATGCTTGGGAAGGATGTGCTAGGCAGAGTCTCAGGTCTTCGTTCACTGGTTTTAAGTCTGCATTCTTCAAGGTTGGCCCCAGTGGGAAAGGCCTCAGACTCCTACTTCAAGAGTTAGTTGTCAAGTATCATTCCCCACCCCCTCCCATTTTTACAGATGACAATCCAAGAGTCTGCACCAGAACCGGATAGAAATGCTGGGTATAAAATTCAGGGGACAGATTTTTGGGTACAACTCTCATGGGTGCAGAGGAGCCAAAGACAGCTTTAAGTCACCTTTGCCACTGCCACTTGTGCCCTCCCGGGTCCAAGAGTCCAGCATGGTTCAGGTGGCTTTGGTAGCACGCTGGCAGCCGAGGGCTTTGCCTTTGCTGGCTCTGGGGCCAGGCAGCAGGGAGCTGTACCACTACGCGATTAGACAACCCTCTACAACACACTCTGGACATACCTAGCCTCAGGAGAAGATGGGTGTGCATCAGGGTGACAAAACCTAAGTGTGTTGAGGTACTCCCAGAGATACACCCTGGGGATATGTATCTGGGGTCCGCCACTCTGCTGAAGGGGCATGCCCAGGTTATTAATTTGCCCAAAAATTAAGATTTACCACAGGTACTTCAGTAAAGTAACATAAAACAAAGGGGTTTATTACAAGGGATAACAAATGGTATAAAATGTGAAAAAGTGATCAGATGCTTTGATGACAGATTAAGGTAAAAACAAAACTGACAAAATCTTTATCCTACGTTCAGACTACCACCTAGGCCTCATAAAAATTCCTGTGAAAATCTCCCAGGGTGAGTCTTCCCTCTCTCCGCATCCCCAACCATTACAGTTAGCTCCTTCAGTCGGTGACTTCCAGTCTCCCTCTCCTCTCCAGCTGCCCCTTAACCGTCCCTGCCTCAGGAATAATTCACAGAGACTCACCCCTACTAACCTTTAGGGGTAGCCAGAAAATCCTCCAGAGTGTTTTTGTCTGTGGATCCATGACAATGATGTCTTCACAGTCTACTGAAAGGTGCTTTTCATTTCCCAGGGTCAGCTTTTATTAGGACATATTACTGGACTGTCATTCTTAACATATCCACCTTTTTTGCTACGCACTTTTAATTTCTACTTTTCTCTTTAAATCCATCTCCATATTACATATATTGCAATGATGTGTTTGGAAGATTAGGAGTATAAATAATCACATTTTAGTTATTTAGTGCTAAGTAGTACTGACTACCAACAATTGCACCCAAGACAGTGGGAGAATGGGATGCCCAGAACCTTAAAGAAATCAAGTTAAAGATGTCTCAAGCTGTATATCAAAACTGGATGCCAGTGTTTGGCCAAAATGACTTGCAGTAGCTTGCACAGTGAGTCCCTGGCAGCACCAGGAATGGAATATGGGTCTTTTAACTCATGCCTAAATAACCCTGTATACTGGACAATGTATACATGCAGCACATGGGATCAGACATTGAGCGAACATGTCTCACTGCCCTGGTAGCTGCATTCCAGCAAGCGGTTTTGGTACCTGTGGAGTCTGTGCATCAGCCAGGAGTGGGCAAGCTTGCCCATAATTCTGTATTAAATACTTCTCCTTTAGAAACCCTGCTAGGAGGAGGTTAACAGTAAATCTATACATTGTTACTAACCACAGGCTTTGTGAATCTGTAAAAGACTTACAAAAGATTTCTGCAACACTTCTGCATTGACAAATAATTTTATTTTTATTTTGGGGGAGGAAGATGTTTGTTTGCAGGGGGAACTGACTTTTTTTTTTGTCCAGCTACAGATGCCAAATCTATCTAGGCATTTTACGGTAAGAATCTGTATTGTTTTTATCTTGCTAGGAAGTTCCTTTTATAACCAAGAGATTGATCATTTAAAGGCAGGGACCTGATAATTTGCTTGGCTTTTCTTCCAAATGATATTGTAGATACAAATTTTCAGAAATTCAGACCATCAGATGGTTTTACAAGCATCTGTAGTGTTTCACATTCTCAGTTTTTACTGATTTTCACTGATAAATCCCTTGATTTTTTTGAAGTCATTCAGTTTTTACTGATTTACACCCGTTTTTTAGTTCAAATCCCTGTTGACTGGCATGAGTGGGGAATGGTCCATTCCCCACTCCTGCTGGTTAACAGGGATTAGAACTGAAAAATGGGTGGTGCTGGTAAGCTAAAAGTGCCGCTGTGCCGGTTACCTGAGGCACAAGTTTCTGGCTGGACAGGGGAGGGCAGTGGCC